TTTGTTGATTTTTATGTTTTTAATCATGTAATTTGATATTTTTAAGATTATGCGTACAAGAAATATCCAAATGCATTAATCGGGAGTACTTTGTAGAAATTGTTGAAAAAAAAACTTCAAAAAGATTGAAAATGGAATAATTTAATATTTAAAATTAACATTTAAAATTAACATTTACCGGTTTTTACATCCATTTAAAACAATCATGACAACCATTCAAAACAACCATAACATTCATTTAAAACACCGCCACAATCAATTAAAACAATGTGATTTTCTATTACAATGTTTAACGCATGCGCAACCTCAAAATTCTCAATTGTTGTAAAAAAAGGTTTTCTTTATATATTTATTTATCTAATATTATATAAATTTTTTTTTATTAATATTATATTAATTTATTTTAATTTAATGGAATTTATTTTAAATTTAAATGGATGTCATGTTTGTTTTAAATGGATGCAAAACCATATTTTTTTCACTGATCTCAAAATATAACTCAAAAATATTTCGCTGATCTTAAAATATTTTATTTAAAATTAAAAAATTATATTTTAAATAAAATAAAAATTTTAATAATCTTAAAAAATCAAATAAATTAAATAAATATATATATATACAGAAAACCTTTTTTTTAAAAAAAAATACAGAATGTTGAGATTGCGCATGCGTTAAATGTTTTAATCGAAAATCACGATTGTTTTAATTGAAAATCACATTGTTTTAATTGATTGTCGCGGAAAGTCATGGTTGTTTAAAATGGTTGCTATGATTGTTTTAAATGGATGTAAAAACCGGTAAAATTATTATTTAAAATCTAAGATATTAAAAAAATATACGAATCGCTAACTTGAAAAAGGGGACATGTTATGTGAATTTTTGTAGGACAAGTCCCCTTTTTCAAGTTAGCGATTCATGTAAACTAAAGAAAACAAGCAAAAATTTATATTTGTTTCATTCATTTTACATTCTCATATTTCATTAAATTCTTTTTTTAATTTAATACGATTTAAAATTGCTTTAGCGAGTTAGCATAGCGTAAATAGACTAACCAATGACAAGTTTTATAATTGCGGACTAACCAATAACAAGTTTTATTATTATAATATCTTTTATTCTATTGGTACTTACATTTTAACTAATCGGAGTTCAAACTGTCAAAACCCTTTACGTAAGTCACATACAACAAAAAAACTTTGTTAAAAATAAAAAATATATAAATATATTACTTTTGGGCCCCTAAACTCTTATGGGCCCTGGAGCAGCGTACCGACTGCACCCCCTCTCATTGGGCCTGCGCCTAGGACTTAATAATAACAGTAGCCAAACGTAGTGATAGTGCTTAAAAAAGCTCAATGTTAGTTTTAACCCAATAAGCAATCATATTCTAAGACAATGTTAACAAGATTCCAACTAGAACGCTTTATTATCCAAACAACAATAAATAAATTTTTGAAAGAAAATAAAGATCAGGAAAAATTAGTTTTGTTTAATTTAGCATGAATATAGCTAGAAAGTTCTATAAGTATGAACTGTTTTAAAGTAAATATATGGACATGTAAAACTGGGTCTTTACTAAAGAACTTTAGTTAAAATTCAATCCATAAAAAAACATAATAAACAGATATCTGGTTTAAAACCTGATTCTCCTCAAAATCTCTGTTTTAGGATGATCAGTTATCAGTTAATTCACAAAACATAATCCTATATATTATTGCCGAACTTAATCCTTTTAGTACTTTCGAGCGTATTTGACACGAAACCCTTGGCAGCCATTGTAACCAAGGTAGTAGCAAGAAAGAGACGCAGCACTTTGTTTTACAAGAAAACCTGAACGAACGTGTATGCAAATATATAACGTAAGTAAACTTTAAATTAAGTTATGTTAAAACATTCTAAAACATTTATCAAGTTTTACAGTTTGATTTTCACTTAAAAATTGCATTGAGTCAAGTTCTACTTAACTTTGATCTACAGCATTTCTTTCCGTTAAAAAATTATTATATTTCGAAAATTTCGGTTAAACAGAGTGCCGGCGTGGCCGAGTGGATAGTGCGCTAAGTTTCTGAACAAGTAAGTCGTGGTTCGAGTCTTACTAATGGCAACTTTTTTATTATTATTATTTTCGATTATTTTAAAATACAAAATACTTTTGAAGATTTATAGAGATTAAATACAAACATAAGTAACAATATGTTTAACAATCTTTAACGATCGAAAAGAATTTAAAAAGCTAACATTTCTAAAAATATCAAAACACCGGGAGAAAAAATTTGTTGCGTATGTGTCACGATTGAGATACTTATGTTATTAATGTGCTCAGGTAATTAGTCCTAAGAAGCTGCAGATGGTCTGAAAAAAAAGTTGTCTGAAACTTAATAAAGAAAAAACTTAACAAGACAGTCCTGATACTCCAGAAGGTGCTGCTGTGGAGGCAAAAAAAAAAAAAAAAGCCCGTACCTAGAAAAACATTAAAACTTTCTTTTGACAAATGAAAAGCTTTTTTTTGGTACATTTATTTTTTTACTATAAATAAATGCTGCAGCCATTATTCAAAATGCCTTTATTACCTATTTCGAGAAAAACACTTTTTCAGAATTTTTTCAGAACTCTTTAAAAATATAATATATTTTCAAAAAGTTCTGAAAAAATTTATAAATATTATTTGCGTTATTAAATATATTATATTTAATAACGTTTGCAGACATCTAAACTAGCTAATTTTGTAAAAAAAGTAGAAATTGATTTTTTTTTACCATAAGGCGTTTTGAAAAACAGCTGCAGTGTGGATGATGCAACAAATATGTTGAAATGAGATAATTTAACACAGCAGTATTTAAAAGCTCTTAACAAAAACCACTAAACCAAAAAAATTAAAAGTAATTGCAGTTCAGTGCACCTAAAAGTTTTAAACATAGTTTATTGGTGTTTGTGCAAAGAAACCCTATACAAATCATTTTTTAATATAAACTAATTTTTTTTTTTTAAATTTGTTGCGCTTAACCATTCTTATATAAACAATATATATATATATATATATATATATATATATATATATATATATATATATATATAAACAAATATGTTATTTGTTTATATTATATTGTTTATAAAATGTAAAAAGTCCATTTATATAACGTTTTATTCAGGATCGTATGTAATATAAGTAAACTTTTCTAATAATTACAAATCTTTTTTGCCACTTTTTTTATACTTTGTGGCAAAAAAACTTGAAAACATCTTTTATCTCTAGATGACATTGTAAAACACAGACTATTTGTTTATAAAATACTTTTAGATAAGTTGAATGCTTTTATCTTTTGAGAGCCACATCATTAAGTTCATTATTAGACATTTTGATGTTTGATTCTATGATTAATGTTTGATTATATGGTTGATGTTTGATTCTATGATCGACAAAACAAAGATAGTAATATAACAAGAGTAAAAGAGTAAATGGTAAGTCACTTTGAAGTACTATGTGCTATCTGCTGCTTATTATTTATTTTGTTGTCATTGTCACTATTCTATATGCTTTCATGTCAATAATTTGTATAGATATGTTCATGTGTATGTATGTATGTATGTATGTATGTATGTATGTATGTATGTATGTATGTATGTATGTATGTATGTATGTATGTATGTATGTATGTATGTATGTATGTATGTATGTATGTATGTATGTATGTATGTATGTATGTATGTATGAATGTATGTATGTATGTATGTATGTATGTATGTATGTATATATGAGGGATATGTGTTTATTTTTATGCTGTGAGTGCGTGTATTTACACACATATATACAGCTATACCACGCGCATCCTTCACCACCCACACGAGATCTCTAAGAATGTTGGAGCTGTTTTTAAAAAACTAGGATAGGGATTTGGTTTTTTTGGCTTTTGTAGTGTAGTCCTATTATATTGCAATATTGACTAGCATGACGTAGAGTGCAGGTGGTGAGATCTGTTGCAAGGACACACTCCTGACGAGTAGCGTTAGTGCAGGTCTTGGGCTCTCCAAAACGTCATTGGTGATCGCAGTTTATTCCTGAGGAGGGAGATCACCATTTATCCACTACTTAATTCTAATTGGTTATTATGGCACCAACATTTTTTACCTCTTACACCTATGTATTTTTGCGCTTTGTGATTTTTTTATTATGAATTTGTTACATTAACGACATTTTTATATTTTTATGTTACACAGCTGATTATGAGTTCTCAATTTTTTATCTAGAGTTTAGAACAAATACAGTATCACATTTATTAGACATTTGTATGGTGCGATTATTTTAGTTTTGAATACTACTATAAACCAGCGGATTTTTATTGACTTGTTTACTCATAGATCATTGTTTTATCATTTGCTAAAAGATGACTAGAGTGTAAGTTTTGGTTCCTCTCTTCCTGAGTTGCTAACATTTACTCCTCCTACTAAATAGTCTTTACATTAATTTACGTTTTTTTTACCTAAATAACATCATCTTCAATCTGTTTTTATTTTCACATCTCCCAGGTCTACGTAACTGGACGGCTCCGTTGGTCACTTTTTGCGATCATTGTGTCGCATAAACAAAAAATTTATTCTTTGTGGCTGGTGAGCCCCGACTTTTTCCAACGTACACCACAACAAAACGGACATTAGGCTATCCCGCTGAATTTGGTTACGACGCTCAATAACCTAATGACTATGCTGACACTCACGCACACGTTTAGTCGGAAGTTACACAATGCACATCGGACCAGCGCTTGTTGACTATGTGTTCGGGTCTGAAATCTCACTTCATAGCACATCATTCCACACCAACATGGGGCAGTAGCTCTTTTGGCTAAAAGTGATGGCTTATGGCCTATGGTGACTAATGTGTGCATTCGATCAATCATGGCCTACTTTATTTATACGGCCGCATATTTTACATTTTGAAGAAAAAAATAGAAGGCCAGTTTTCTGGAAAAGTGTTTTTAAGAAAGCAGCTTTGGAAGTTCAAAAAGATGGTTAACAAATGTTGCGTCGTAAATTGTCGTTCAAATTATCATAATTATGGTGAAGTATCTACAGTAGTATTTTCGTTTCCAAAAAATGAAGAGTTAAAAAAATATTGGATTAAATTTGTAAATAGAAAAGATTGGAAACCTACTAATTCTTCCGTTATATGCATCAAACATTTTGAAAAAAAATATTATAAGAAAGGTAATAAGAATCAACGTTTTAGATTAATAAAAAATGTAAAGCCTATTCCAACTATTTTTGACTGCACAAATTTGACTGAAGAAGGTTCATTACAACTTATAAAATCTTCTAATTCATTAAGAAAATCACCAACTAAAAGAATATTTCAGCCAGATCAATATGAACAGTTTTTATTGAATGATTTGATTAATAGCTTTAACGATATTACTGAAAGTTTTGCTCCAGATGGTTTTTCATTCTTGAAGTATGATGATCATGTAATTTTTTATAAATTGAGTCATAGTACTTTATCTATTCCAGAGGTTACAGAGTGCATTCGTGTAAACAATGAGATGCATGTTAAATTATTTTACAGAGGTTCACCTCTGCCATTACCTCAGTGGTTTTGTCAAGGAAGAGATTGTCGTTTATCTTGTAAAAGTATGCTTCATAATTTTCCTACCTACATTAAATCACAAGCCGAGCAATTTTCATCTGTATTGACTGAATTACAGCAAATTAAATATATGAAAAAACCTATTTATTCAGCCAATATTATAAGGTATTCACTGATTTTACGATATACTTCTATGCAGTCATACCAACTTTTGCATGAAGAATTGCCTTTACCATCATTATCATTACTTAAAAAAAATAACTAGTGGAAATATTGATGCTCTAAGTTGTGCAAAATGTTTAAAATTAGAAGGTAAGATATCTCAAGACATTTGCTTGATTTTTGAGGAAATGTACTTGCAAAAATGTGAGGAGTATTTTGCTGGAGAGATGATTGGTAGTGATGAGTCTGGAGAAATCTATAAGGGAATAGTTTGTTTTATGATAGTTGGCCTGAAACAAAACATTCCATATGTGATCAAAACGTCTCCTGAAAAAACAATCAATGCTGAATGGTTGAAAGAAGAAATTTTTGAATGTCTTCGTATTTTAACTGAATGTGAATTTAATGTTAGAGTTATTGTGTGTGACAACCATTCTGCTAATGTTTCTTGTTTTAAAAAAATCCTTTGTGCATCGAATCAACAAGCTGAAGATTTGTTTTTTATTTATAATCTAAAAAAAATTTACCTCTGTTTTGATGTCTTATTAAAAACATCAGAAATAATTTGTTAAATTGCAAAAGATTTTTATTTCCAGATTTTAACTTTAATGGATTTAAAGATCCTATAATTGTATGTGGGGGAGAAATTAAATGGAGTACCTTCCACAATATTTATGAAAAAGACCTCACTCTTGATGCTGGTTTGCGTAAAGCACAAAAAATAACAATGAAAGTGTTACATCCTGGCAATTTTAAACAAAATGTTTCTTTAGCACTTGCTATTTTTGATGAAACTACATCAGCAGCGATTCACTCATATTTTCCAGATCTTAAAAGTAGTGCAGATTTTCTTACATTATTTAACAAGTTAAAGTAAACTTCTCACAGTTTGGTATCTTTTGGGGTTTTATCAAATTCTAAATGTCAGTATTCAGCATGTAATATTTTAGGTAATGCAGTCGTTTCTGGTGATAAAAAACCTGAATTTCTTCGGGAAATGGCACATTAGATTGAAGTTTGGCAATCACAAAAGATACCAAACTGTGAGAAGTTTACTTTAAGTGTTCAGATAGCTGCAGCACTAATAAGAACACTTAATAGTCATGCCTCATTGATCGAGGACTTGCTTAATGATGGATATCACTTTGTTTTAACTGCGAGATTTCAAAGTGACCCATTAGAAAGGAGATTTGGACAATATAGACAAATGAGCGGTGGAAGATTTTTGGTAGGTTTAAAAGATATCACTATTTCTGAAAAAATATTAAAAATCAAAAGTATAGTTTAAGAAAGTATTAACTTCGATGATAGTTTAAAAGTGCCTGAGTCAGAAAATAATTTAACAGATTGGAAAAACTTTCTTCTTGATATTGATGAAGCTCAGTGTACTCCAGAAATCATGACACTTGCACCAGAAAGTAGGGAAGTAGGTGCTCATATTGCTGGTTATATAGCAAAGAATCTTAAAAAACGTTTTGGTACATGTTGTAAAGAATTTTTATGTTGTGTCAATATTGATGAAAGCAATCCTGATCATACTTATTTAACAATTATTTCTAGGGGTGGTCTCACTATTCCTTCACCATCACTTTTGGATTATGTTTGCACATCCTTTGCTATGATTGACTACTTTTATAAAAAAATAAAGAAATTTAGTTTACATGCACGACAAGCTTTAGAATATTTGTTAAACCACTTTTATGACTCTTTTCAGACTTTTTCTTGTCCCATGCATGAGAAAACTGGGATAAAACTTAATTGATAAGAATTGTTGTTAACATTTTTCTTAATAATAAAAGAATTATCTCTACCAGTGAAGTAGCTGTTGATCATGTAAAATCTTTTAAAAAGAGAAAATTTGAGAAAATTTAAGAAATTATATATAATTATTTTATTTTTAAATGAAAAAAGAGAAACATTTAAATATTTTTTATAACTGTTCTTGTTTCTTACACCGTTTTTACAAATACTAAATTTTAAAATAAACACTATTTATTTCTTAATAAATGTTCGTTTAATATCTAAAATTATGAATAAATACAACTTTTGTGGACTTTTTAAATGTAGAAAGTAAAATAATATTGAAAATGTTCAAAACGTATTAAATTTTTGAAACATTACGATTTTCAAAACTGGCCTTCTATTTTTTTCTTCAAAATGTAAAATATCCGGCCGTATAAATAAAGTAGGCCATGGATCAATTGAAATTTATTCTGTAGGTCTTACGTCTGGCTCTGATGTGCTAGCCCATAAGCGCAAGAAGTGAGTGTGTTTAGCTTTCTATTCACCAGATTTGAAAGTGAACGGAAACATAACGAGACCATACTAGACGACAAAACGATACATACTAATGCACTACACCATCACACCTGTAGACATCAACAGTCTTCAAAATCAGTATATCAAATATTTGTTCTTTGTTACATATGATCTACACACAGAGTGACTAGAGTGTTAGTGGGTTCTCCCCCTGCCTCCCGAGCATTTAACTTCGTTTTTTACCTTCACAAAAGTCTTATCACTCATTTTATATTTTCTTATTATTTTTATTTTCTATTCAATGACACCATCTTCTAACTGTTTTTATTATCACATCTCTCAGGTCTACGAAACTGGACGGCTCCGTTGGTCACTTTTTGCGATCATTGTGTCGCATAAACAAAAAAACTTGAAAACATCTTTTATCTCTGGATGACATTGTAAGACACAGACTATTTGTTTATAAAATACTTTTAGATAAGTTGAATACTTTTATCTTTTGAGAGCCACATCATTAAGTTCATTATTAGACATTTTGATGTTTGATTCTATGATTGATGTTTGATTCTATGATTGATGTTTGATTCTATGATCGACGTTTGATTCTATGAATAATGTTTGATTCTATAATTGATGTTTGATTCTATGATTGATGTTTGATTCTATGATTGATGTTTGATTCTATGATTGATGTTTGATTTTATGATTGATATTTGATACTTTGATTGGTGTTTGATTCGATAATTAATGTTTAATTCTATGATTGATGTTTGATTCTATAGTTGATGTTTGATTCTATGATTAACGCTTGATTCTATGTTTGATGTTTGACTCTATGATTGATGCTTCGTTCTTATTTGTGCAATGCTACAATGTGCGACCCGGTTCTGCCCTGCAACTATCAGAATAAAGTTTGGTTTGGTATAATTTCTTTTTAGCTGCTTATATTTATTACCTTTAAAAAAGAAGTGACCAACTGCTAAGTACAAAAATTATTGGTTAACTTGCTTGAATTTTCGAAATTAAACATAAAATACCATAAGTTTTAATAAAAACGACTTTAATTAAAATATATGAAAATGTCTCAAACAAAATTTTTTATTTTATTTTGGATGTTTTTTTACAGTTGGAGGAAATAGTTGCTTTAAATTATCCATATTAAAGTCAAAACTTAAAATATAGAGAGATGAACTCTCAAGAGAAAAATAATGATATATCATAAGATTTATAAAAATTTATGTTGTCTTTGATAAAACTTAAATTAATAATGGTGTTAAATACTATTTTCAAGTAAAATATGAAATAAATAACTTAATATTTCACTTGAAAAATAGTGTTTAACAGTCTGTGTAAAATGGTAGAATGTTTAAATAAAATATGTGCATGCAGCTTGGAAATAACCTTTTGTAGATATATAACCTCATGAATAGATTATACTTTTAATGTTAGTCTTGTTAATGTTGCAATGCTACGAATTTTAACAAAAATGTTTTCTCTGACACGATTATATGTAGCTATTTATGTGACTATTAAATGTAGTACCAGTTGGTTATATGCGACTATTAAATGTAGTACCAGTTGATTGCAATTATAAGAGCAGTTGATTAAGTAATCAACGACTCTTATAATTGTTTCTAGTTTTTATTGGTAAAAAATTTATCATTGAAAATGTTTTTTACTGTTTATCTCAAGAGTATTTAAAAATCTAAATACTTCTACAATAAGAGGACATCTAGATATCTTCTTATGATGGAAATAAATTACAATATGGAATAGCTATTCGATATTGTAATTTATGTTCTATTTGAGTGCTTTTTTTACACATTTGTCTGCACAGTAAAGTGGTTCATACTGAAAATAACTATTTATTTTCAGAACATAAAATGACATACCTGTGTCATGAAAAAATCCTAAAGGTCTAATCAATACTTGACTCTCTGTCTTAGTGTTAAATAATCAACTCTGTTAAACTTGTAGTTTCCTATGTTTATTTTTAAAAAGCACATAACTTGTCAAGATAAACATTTCTAGTTTTTGCATTCAATCTTGAAGAAGGTTGGACAACCAGGTGGTTTTAGTATTAAACCTAATTTTACATACGTAAACACGAATGAAGAATTATAAGATCTTTTATTGCTGTAATCATTTGTTGAAACTTGTTCAACAAGCCTGTGTCTTTCACAAACAACTATGTTTTTTAATGCAGTCTCTTATTATGACTGCCTACCACTTTTCTTTCTCTTCTGGTATTCGAGGAATGCAAAAAACTAGCAAAAGATTTCAAAACAAATCAGTTACAACTCATGTTTATTGCAACTTTAATTAAAATAATATAAAGAACTGAAAATCTTTGTTATGCAATATTAACACTTTTTCCTACGATATTACCTTATGGTGTTTAATGTTGTATGTAATTACCAAAGCAAAACAAACCTGGTCAGAGGTGGAACTTTATTTACCTAGAATAAAACGCAATGGATTTTCTCATAGGCCTTTAATAAGCGTCGAAGGGTTTGTATCAGCTTTTAAAATAAATTCTTTAAAAAAAAACAATTAAAAAAAAGATATTTTTGTTTAGTTTCACACTTTTGTCATTTGTGATGGAAAACTAATGTTATTAACGTAATTGGTTATGGAATTAGTTTTAGCTGCGAAAAATGATATCTCAAAGAAAAAAGTTGGGAAACTATCCAACATTTTTTTTAAAATTTAGAAATTGGGAATGGGGTTCCATAAAAAAACAAAAGAGTAAAAAAAACAACAACTAAAAAACTACTTAATGTCTTCCCCGTATATTAATCACCTGAAGTAAATGTTATATAAAAATCTAAAATTTGAAAATATAATCAACGAAAAATATATTATGTTACAAAAAACGCATTGAATTTAGATATATCGATTGAGTTTAGGCTTAAATTGTATAAAAACACTAAGAAATGTATATAATTTTTTTTTTTTTACATAAAATCCTAAAAAAATGAAAATATAATCAACGAAAAATAAATTTATGCAACAACAAATGCTCGAGATATCTTGAATTTAGACTAAAGCTTGAACAACAATTAGAAATATGTAAAAAAAAATAATATTACATTAATCGTAAGTACTTTAATTTCATTTTGAAAAAAATTATAAAATATATGTACCTTGTCTAACCAATCTATCCTAGAACAAACAATAGTACTTTTGAATATGTTTTATTAAATAGCAGTTAATATGGCGAGTTCCGTAAAATATTGGAAAAATAATTACGTTACAATAACAACCAACACAGCAAAACTTAATATTTTAAATAACCGTTTTAGTTTGCAATTAGTAATAAAATTATAATAAAGTCATGGTTAATTAACCCTTGGGCATATGAAAATACTTTATAAGTTTATAATTAATCTTTTACGTCTAGTTACAATAACCAACACTACGTCATTTCTTAAAAACAAATCTTTTAGTTAGGCAATCTTACTTAAATAATCGCAGGCTTTAATAATCGTCTAAATCATAAATTATATAAGTTATCATCAAAATTTAACTAAGATGGAAAGGTCACCATTTTTGAATTGTTTAGACTTTTTGTTTTATAAATCAAATAAGTTAACTAATATGGTAAGTTCAGCAAACTAAGTTGTTTAGACTCCCAGCGGGCATTAGTTTTTTAAAGTTACGTTTTTAATGTATTTTATATGTTTTTTAAACGTCTTCTAAACATTCTTACGTAAAGAACGTTTAAAAGACGTTTAAAAGACGTTTAAAAAACGTTTAAAAGACATTTAGAACGTAACTTTCAAATACAAATGCACAAAGGGCTTCTTGTTTTATAAATCAAATAAGTTTACTTCAGTGCTGCAGTTAAATGCCTAAATTTTCTAAGATCTTAAATTTTTTTTTCAATAATCTCTTAACGCTCAAAAGTTATGACCACTCAAAGTTTTCGCCTTCCCTAAAATGAGGGGGTTATAATTTTCACATAGTGTAACATTATAAAATTATTAAATAAAATTAAAAACCTGTCGATGAATTTAGTTCTAGCATGGAAGTACAAAACAGATGTAAGTTCATCAAGCCACAAATATCAAAGCAATTTCAAGTCGTCTCGGGAGTACGCTTGTAACCGGCATATAAAAAACAAAACAAGTTTCACTGGATAAAAAACAAAAAAATTCACTGAAATGATTTTTGTAAAAATAATAAAACAAAAATTATTCTAGGACATGCTACATAGTTTTAACTATTAGTAATTGTAATAATTCAACGAAAGATTTATCAAAACTTGGTAATTAAATAGACACTTTATTTTAATTAAACACTTTATTTTAAAAGCATATGTTACTTAAAGCTTCATTTCTTGTTTTAAATCATAACACGACATTTGATTAAAAAGACAACTAAAACAATTTTTAAAAAATCGAAAAAAATGTTTTCTAAATTACTAAAGTTTAAGGTTTCACTAGCTGTATATCATAGTTCCACTCATTCTTGTTATACTCCATTCATTTAATATAAAGTTTATGAAAAAATTGTTTGTTGCGCCATTTTTAACGCCATTATACTTGAATATATTATCAGTGAACCGTAAAAATACTATATTTTTGAATTATTATAAACCTATCTATTTGCGTCAATGTATGAAGATTAAGCATTTAAGTACAGTCTTGATGTCATTTTTTTGTTTGTTTACGAAACAAAAAGTTACAAGCATAGTCCCAAAGCATTTCAATGCGGTTGAACCTCCATCTGTTTTATACTTCCATGGTTCTAGTAAAATGTTCTATCAGACATTTTACTCCGCGGACAGTTTTCTCCGTGACAGTCTTACTGTTTTGCAAGTTATGTACTTTGGACTATTCAAGAAATGTATTTTAGCGTTGGTTTAAATTATTTTAGCAATTTTAGCGATGGTTTCAGAACTCGCTCATTATTCTGCGGGCATAACGACTTTAACACTTTATATTAAGCATAATATTATTATAATAAATACAGTATTTTTATTTCTATTTTTTTTTTTTTTTTTCAAGACCATAAGTACCGGAACCGCCAATTTTTTATAAAGGTGAACAATTGAGCTTGGATGAGCAAAGTGGATTTCAGACTGAATAAGAGTTTGAATTATTGTCCTGAATTTTGATATTCTATTATCAATATTTGAACAATTAAGTGAGGCAAAAGAAGAACTTTTAGTATCCCAAATAAAACCAAGATGATTAAGATTATGATGCAGTTTTATTTGTTGGTGGTCGACTGTTATCGTGCAGCTTACAATTTATTTTTTTCTGGTGAACAAGAACTCGGTCTAATTAGCATTCAAACTTTATACAATTTGCGTTAATGTATGTATTACAAGCTGCTGTAAGTTTTTTAAATTCCAGACAGGGTGGAATTACCCAGCAAACATGTCCTATTGGGGCCCATATGGGTTTGCCCAAGTGGGCCCTATATGAGTTTTATGTATGGGCCCAAAATGGCTCCATGTGGGCAAGCCCTTGAATACAAAATTTTTGTATTTAAGGACTAGCCCACATGGGGCCCATTTTAAACCCATATATGTAGCTAAAAAAGTTAAAACTTTGTATTCAAGGGTTAGCCCATATGAGGCCCATTTAGGGCTCATATATGAAGTTAAAAAAGCGTTAAATTCCATCTTATTTTCTAAATTTAAATGCCATCCGATCGTGCGCGTGATGTTATGAGGTACTCCGCTAGGCAATTAGCTGGAAGAGTATAAATCACAATACTTTATAAAATATTTTGAAAGTGTATACACTATTTGGGTTTTTATAAACCTACAAGCAAAAATGTATATAAAATGACAGGTCTTGAAGAGGTCTTCCTAACAGTTTACTTATCATTTTCAAATAAATAAACTGTTGATCTTTCTTAGACTTACCTGACTGGGAAGTAAAGTCCGATCATGAAGGGGCTTTTTTAGTATAGGTATTTTAGTATTTGGGATATGATTTAATCAGAAGTTGAATTTACCTCCATATGGCGAGTTGTGTTAATCGACGAGAAACAGTTTTTTTCAAAACTAACGATGATGCACTACTACCCTTAATGGATAACCAACGAACTAAAGAAATCTCAGTTATTTTACTCGAAAAAATGGCGAAAGCTTCTGCTGGCGAATCAATCGAACAAGTTGAAATAAGTTATAGTAGTGATGAACCTTCGGATGATGAAGATGAAGACAAACCAAAAAACAAAAAACAACCAAAAAACTATGCTGAAGCAGCGAAACCCGAAACAAAAAAACGAAACCTACCAAAAACGTTGATCTGCGAAATTGAAAAGCATTTTACTCTAAATGAACTCCTGAAAGCAATTGAAGACGAAAACCTAGATGAAGAACTTGAAGGCGCTCAATTTTTACGAAGAAACACAGCGATCGAAATAGTAATGAAGACCAACGAAGCTAAAATAAAACTATTAGAAAATGGACTATACATTAACAATCACCATCATGTCTTCAAAATATCCAACAACAACCGAAGACCAAAAACAGAAGGAAAGCGTATAAACCAAACACACGTATCGGTATTTGGCCTCCCAATAGAGGCAAAACTTTTTGATATTGGCAAACACTTTGAAGAATTAGGATACGGTAGACATGTCTACACTAAACCAGTAATGAGAACAACGCCAGGAAAAGGCACACCCTACTATTCCGACATTCTGGTCGCCGTCATGGAAGACATGCCCAAACCAATGCCAACTTCCTTAAACATCCTCGGCTATAAAATAAGAACTAAACACAACGGCCAGGAAATAAACAACCTTATAGAAAGAAGACAACCCTGCGATACAATTAACGAAAACTCGTCTACTATAATCCATCAACAACTAACATATGAAAGAGAAACAAGCAACTCGAAACCCGAAGAAATTCCATCCAACGTAACAAATGAAGAAAACATAAACAAAATAACCGACACAAATAAGAAAACAAACAACATAATTGAAAACGAAGGAAAAACAAATAAAGAAGAAGAGAAGAAACAACCAACAAAACCGAAGAACGAAATCCAACACGAAAAAACCAAAGAAGAAGAAAGAAAAACACTCGAAAAAAGAAGAAAAGAATATTACTTCGACAAACCAACAACCAAAGAAGCAGAAGAACAGAAGATTCACACGAAAGACGTAGAAGAAAACAAGCGAGCGGAAGATACGAACGAAAAATCTCGAGAAAAAATGGACGAAGAAACACATGGCAAGGAAAACGCAGCGCACCACCCCCGACACCATACAAAAATGATCGAAAAAAAAGAATGGGAACGAGCAAGGAAAGTACCACGCTGGAAAATGGCTAAGTTTTTACTATTATTTTTTATTTTTTCCTAACGGTTTTTTAAAAAAAAAATTTTACATTATAACAATTAAACCACCAGAAGTTGGCGTTCTATTTAAGAATGTGCTTTTTTGCATATTCTTAATCACGGAACTCCAACGTAGGGTTGGAAAATGCCTTGACGTAGAAAAATGGATATATTAACAATTTTCTCAGTCAATGTTGCTGGTCTAATAAATAAACAAAAACAAGATACAGTTTTAAATAATCTTAAGAAACTAAACTACGATTTTTATTTACTGCAAGACACTCATTTAAATAAGTTACAAAACGATGAGTTATCAAAAAAATGGAAAGGCAGCGTTTTCACCTCTGCGGGGAAAACCCGCACAGGTGGGACAGCAATTATAACAAAACACGTGCTAAAACCTTACGAAAAATTCGATGACGAGAATGGAATTTTTAATTATGTATTAACTAAAGTAAGCGAACAAAAAATTTTATTACTTAATGTATACGCTCCCTCGGGACATGAGTTTTCTCAAAACAGAAAAAAACTGTTTGAATTAATTGAAGACAAAATCAAACATATAAATTTAGAAAACGTTTTGGTAATTCTGGCAGGTGACTTTAATATGGTTTTAAACGAAATCGATAGGCACCCACAAATTTACAGAAAAAAATGCGCTTCGACAGAAAAATTTAAAAAGTTAATTAACAAACTCGAAGTTGAAGACACGTGGCTTTGACACGTCTTTTTAACCCAAACAAACAAGAATTTACTTATAAAGCCACAAATAATATATCATATTCTCGACTCGATAGAATTTACTTAAGTAAAAAAGCGAGGCAAAATGTAGAAATACAACACGAACCAATGGCACACTCTGACCACTACAACGCGTGCGTTGCCTCGATTACCCTAGACAAAATAGAAATAGGTAAAAGTCTGTGGATTTTTAATAATAAACACCTAAAAAATAAAAACTATTTAGATCAAATAGAAATACTTATTAAAAATAAAACATCCCAAAACTTAGATTCTAAAAAGGAAACGTGGGAAAATCTTAAAAGCGAATTAAAAGAACACGCAAAAAAATTTTGCAAGCAACAAGCTAAAAACAGCAGAATTGAAGAATATAAACTAAAGAAAAAATTTAAAAACGCAATCGAAAAAGCGCACCTAAACCCGCGCATGCAAGTTTTAAGCGCTGACATCAAAAACAAACTAAAAATTTTTGAAACAAACAGAGCATATGGCGCGTCGATAAGAGCAAAAATTAAAGGGCGTACTGAAGGCGAAAAATGCAGTCGCGCGTTTTTTCAATTAGAAAAACTAAAACCAGCTAAACAAGTAACAACAAAGATAAAAGATAAGAAAAATAACATCAAATCGGAGAAAGATAAAATCCTAAAAGAGTTCGAAAATTATTACAAAGAACTCTACACAAGCGAGAAGCGCGACATTAAAAGCCAAGACATTCTTTTTTCCAAAACATCTCCTATTCAAAAAATACCCAAAAACTTAAGCAAAGAACTAGAACTGCCAATAACAATTACAGAAATTAAAAATGCTCTAAAAACAATGCAAAATAACAAATCATCCGGAAGCGACGGCCTCACCATCGAATTCTACAAACAAAATATTTATTTGTTTGGAGAATTACTGGCCGAAGCTATAAACGAAACGTTTACCACCGGTGAAATGAGTGAAAGCCAAAAAAAGGCGATAATTATATGTCTGTTTAAAAAAGGAGATAAGACAGATATTAACAACTGGCGTCCTATCTCACTTTTAAATACAGACTATAAAATCATAACTAAAATCATCGCGAACAGACTAAAAAATGTTCTACCCTTGATTATTAACGAAAACCAAACGGCATGCGTTCCGCGTAGATCCATATATTACAATTTATCCTACACCAGAGATATTATAAGAATATGCAACAAAAACCAACTTGACGCGTCTATTATATCCATTGATCAGGTCAAGGCATTTGATAGAGTAGACAGGAACTATTTATACGACACGTTATTTTTTTTTGGTTTTAATACCATATTTATAAATTATATAAAAACGCTATATTACGACATAAGCGCGCAAATTAAAATAAACGGATTTTTATCTGAAAAAATTGAAATAAACAGAGGAGTAAGGCAGGGTTGTCCTCTTTCGATAATTCTATATATCATACAGGCCGAAATTTTCTCAGGGTATATAAGAGCAAATAAAAACATAA